GTTGTCCCAACCCTGCTCCTTGAGCTGTGTCTTCTTCCCAGCCCCCTTTGGGAATAGCCTTGCCAGCTGGCTTTCAGAAGCATAGAGGACAGGTTATTTTTAGTTTACAGAGAGGTGGTATCCAGACTGTCAGGTCCCTGAGGCCATTAATAGCTCAGGTTAAAGAAGGTAAGGCGACAGCAGTCCAGGAGGACAGCCGCTGTCAAATTGGGTCAGGCCTATTGTTATGCAGCACGTCCGCTGCCTCCCGCAGGCAGGGATTTTTGTGGAGGATTTCTCCTGTCTGCCCTGAAGATCATGGACAGACCCAGATAATCTTGTTTTTCTTACACATCACCCCTCTGGTTTTGTGGTTCAGTTCTCAACCTTTGTTACCGGGTGAGGGAGTACATTCAGGAACTTACTCCCAGTACTGCACTTTATTTTTTTCTGAATCATACTGTCTTGAACTTCAAAATAGACTCCTTCCTTTACTCTGATGGTCTCCATGTTGGTGGATAAGTTTGTTTGCCAGAGTTTATGCTGCTTATCATTTTGTAGACTTAACATGGGGATGGGTGTGGGGATGAGATTTCTAGGGCTAAGGACAGTTAATTATGTAATTATGTGTATTTTATTGGGTACAATGTGATGTACCTATATATGTAGTAGAGTGAGAATAAGTTATAAAAATATTTCACAAAGACAAATACCATATGATTTCACTTATACGTGGAATCTAAAAGATAAAACAAATGAACAAACCAAAAAAGAAACAGACCCATAAATACAGATAATAGACTGATGGGTGCCCCCGAAGTGGGTGGTGGGAGAATGGGAAAAATGGGTGAAGGGGAGTGGAAGGTACAGGCTTTCAGTTATGGAATGAGTAAGTCATGGGCGTGAAGGTACAGCATGGAGAACATAGTCAGTGGTATTGTAGTGTTGTATGGTGACAGATGGTAGCTATACTTGTGGGGAGCAGAGCATAATGGATAAGGTGGTTGAATCACTTTCGCGTACACTTGAAACTAATATATAGTGTGTCAACTGTACTTCAATAAAAAATATTTTGCTTGTGGGGTGCCTGGGTGGCTCAGTGTTAAGCATCTGCCTTCAGCTCAGGTCATGATCCCAGGGTCCTGGGATTGAGCCCCGCATCTGGCTCCTTGCTCAGCGGGAAGCCTGCTTCTCCCCCTGCTTGTGTTCCCTCTCTCGCTATGTCTCTCTCTGTCAAATAAAATCTTTAAAAAAGTATTTTGGGGCACCTGGATGGCTCAGTCGTTAAGTGTCTGCCTTCGGCTCAGGTCATGATCTCAGGGTCCTGGGATCGAGTCCCGCATCTGGCTCCCTGCTCAGCAGGGAGTCTGCTTCTCCCTCTCCCACTCCCCCTGCTTGTGTTCCCTCTCTCACTATGTCTTTCTCTGTCAAAAAATAAATAAAATCTTTAAAAAAAAATAAAAATAAAAAAATATTTTGCTTGTTTAGAAATTATTTGAAAATTATTTCTGGCTCTCAAAATATAAGTAATGTGTGTGTCTAGTATCAGAAGTTTTTGTTGGCCAAAAAAAAAAAATTTTTTTTTTGTTGGCTAGTTGAGGGGTCAGAGCCAAAATGTTTTCACTGACCCGAAGTATTTTTGTCAAGAGATTAAATATGTAGTTTTATTACTGAATTTACTAAAGAACTAGATCTTCAGTAAACATGTTCTAACATTACTAAGTACGTGATTATATTAGTGGTACCTTAGCTGAAGTATTTTCTGAACAGCACCAAGTCCTTGTACAAGGACATGCTAAAAGTAGTTAGAAACTAATTTTCCTGGGCGCCTGGGTGGCTCAGTTGGTTGGGCTACTGCCTTCGGCTCAGGTCATGATCCCGGAGTCCTGGGATCGAGTCCCACATTGGGCTCCCAGCTCAGTGGGGAGTCCACTTCTCCCTCTGACTCTCTCCCCTCTCATGCTGTTTCTCTCTCGCTCGCTCTCAAATAAATAAATAAAATCTTAAAAAAAAAAGAAAGAAACTAATTTTCCTGAGAGTTGGCTCCTATTAAATGATGTGTTTTTCTTAAGAATTTTTTATTTTATTATTTTTTATCTTATTTTTTATTTTATTTTTTAAAGATTTTATTTATTCATTTGACAGAGAGAGAGACATCAAGAGAGGGAATACAAGCAGGGGGAGTGGAAGAGGGAGAAGCAGGCTTCCCGCTGAGCAGAGAGCCTGATGTGGGGTTCGATCCCAGAACCCTGGGATTATGACCTGAGCCTAAGGCAGACGCTTAACGACTGAGCCACCCAGTTGCCCCATAACTGCCCTCTTTTTTGAAGCGCTCGATGCTCTTGGCATCTGTGACACGGAGTTTCTCAAGGTGCTTTGAATCTTCCTCCTCTGTGGCTTTGGGGTCCTCGCTAGATCTTGGAGATCCTGGCCTTCTGTACCTTACCGTTTTCTCTTTTTTATCCACCTCCCCAAAGCCGGCGACTTCAGAATTTAGGTCCCAGCTGTGACATCACTCTTGAGCTAACAGCTTTATTAATAATCCAAATGCTTGCCCGTTTCCACAGTCAAACTCTGTGTGTTCCTGTCTCTCATCTGAGCTGTTTGACGTCCCTCCCGACCTGCTGTTCCCTCTCCATTCTCTGTTCGTGATGCCTTCATTACCCAGAAGTGAAAGCCAGAGAAACCTGTGGTCCTCTTTCTACATCCGTCCGCCACCAAGTGGAAAAATATTTTCTCTCTCCTCTTCACCCACAGCCTCAACTGTTTCCCTGTGCTATTCAATAGCCTCCTAATTGGTCTACTGTGATTCCTTTCCAGTCTAGCCACCACACTGCAGCCAAGGAATTAATCGGAAATGCAGATCCAGCCAACGTCTCCCGGCCGAACGTCCCTCAGTGGCTCTGCATCGCCTGCTGATGGAGGCCACGCTCCTTACACCGTGACGAGTGCCTCTCGTTAGCCCTGGTTGGCTTCACACCCTCTCCCTTTGCTCTTTTTGCTTCTACTTCAGCCTCCAGTAATTCTTGTTTATTTTCTTCCCAGTGTACTCTCTTTACATTTTTTAAAAACGTAACACACTTACACACTCACCTAGCTAGGTCCCCTGGTTAGAGAAACTGCAGCTTCCTGCCCCCACCCCCCGTTTCTCTGTCCCCATAGCCAAGCCTCTCAGCTACAGCTGGTTCTCCTTGTGCGTATTTCTCTCTGTATCGCACGCTTGTTGCTTCCTGACTCTTCACTCTTAGGCTTCATCTTTGTCTCACTGTGGGAGATGGGCTGTCCGCTCTCAGGCTGCTTCTGCCTCACGTCCCATGTTTCCATCCCTCCTTTCTCCCAGCAGAGTTGTGTGTTTTCATTAGATTGTTCTTCTTTAGGCTGGCCTCTTAGAAAAATTTCTAAATACAGTTTATGTATTTATTTTCCATGTATTAATGCTCTGGGGTTATGGTGGTTTTTTAAAGGACCATGGGTCAACATTTTTTTTAATTCCTCAATTAATGAGGGAGCTAGTGAGATGTTATAAGCAGCTTAAAAGAGAATTTAGACAAAACATGCACGCACATGTAATCAGGAACACCAAAGTGAGGTACAAATGGATGTAAGAAATGGTCAGTATCCACAGGGTAATAACTGCATTCCTCTGAACAAAATTTTTAATTTCTTTGGATAAGAAATCTTTTGCCTTGGGGGCACCTGGGTGGCTCAGTCGGTTAAGCGTCTGCCTTCGGCTCAGGTCCTCAAGACCCTTCGCAGGGTCCTGGGATCGAGCCCCGAGTCGGGCTCCCTGCTCCGCGGGGAGTCTGCTTCTCCTCTGCCTCTTCCTGCCTGTCTGCCTACTTGTGATCTCTCTTTCTGTCAAATAAATAAAATCTTAAAAAAAATACACAAAAATAAGCATAAATTAAAAATATTTTGCCCTCCCCCCTCTCATGCTCTCTCTCCCTCTCATTCTCTCTCTCAAATAAATAAATCTTTAAAAAATATTTTGCCTTCCTCTCACATTTTTTACAACTCACATTCGTACAGCAGCTCAGACAGGTGCAGGGCCCCCATAAACTTAGGTAACACAAGGACGCACTGGACAGCACGCCCAGTCAGCTTGTTGTTTGCCTGTCTCAAGGCCCTTTCACAGCCTTTCCTGACATATCTTCCCCATTGGGGGCGTAACTATGGCAAAGAAAGATGATTCTTGGGTCACGGAAAAAGGCTGGTCCCATTAGGGTTGCAGGTGCAGCAAGAGTGTTAACCATATGAGTCACCTTGAGTTTGCTCTTGAACAACCACTGAGGTCACAAATCAACTTCTGTCCTGAAGTTTTCACGCAGAATCTCGGACTGGGCGAGTCTGAGAGTGGGGAGGTAAGCCCAAGAAACTTTCTCCACCATGTTTTTACTTGTAGTACCTATAAATTCGGGTGAATTCTTCTCTTATCAAGGCTCCAAAATTTGCTAAGGTTCCTGACCTGCCAGCCAGTGATCTTCCTTACCACCTTGAGGCTGCAATGTTGTATGCCAGGACCCCTCCATGCTGGTTTTTCTTGGAGGGCTTTGTGGACATTAGATCTGTAAATAAACTTGACCTTGATTTCCTTAAAAGTGGCTTGTCCTGCTTGAGTCATTGAGAATCATTCTCAAATAGGACATGTCAGAGCCTTGGTTTGCATAATAGAGTCATCCAGTTATGTCCTGATTAAAGAGAGGACAGATTTTTATTGAACCCATAGAAATAACTAAATAGTTGTGAAAAGTACAAAACCTAAGAATGTATTTTTTTTAATTTTTAAGTATTTTTTAAGGAAACACTGCATTAATAAAGTACTGTGTGTTTTTTTAAAGTATGTTCTTTTTGTTGTGATCTCTAATTGGTAGGTTGTCATCCTGTTTTCTATCAAATTATGGGAATCCTTGGTACCAGAGACTGTGAAAGAGATCTTCATATTTGTTAGGAAGTACCTGGTGTGTATAGGCTCTTTTAAGGCTCTGTCTTCATAATACTTTTAATTGAATTATCTCTTCCAGGTTCATATTGAGATCCATTGAAGGCCTTCCGCTGACTGACAGAGGCGTGTCGTCAGGCTCACCACATCAGAGAACACACAGCATGAGGGACAGAGTGGGAGCTCTGGGCACCTGCCTCAGGAAGGTGAAGGGGGCGGGAGAGGACTCAGACCGGCTGCTGAATGGACTTGAAAGAGCACAGGGGGAGAGCCTTTGCCCGACAGATACACCTTCCTCCTCCTGTATGCAAATACCTGCGGTTGATGTGGATGGAAATCCACAAAACGAGGAGTTGTCAATGGAAATGAAAAATGCTCCGAGCGAGGCCAGCCTCTTGCTTCACAGCGGCAACAAAGCGCTTCCGTGTCTGAAAGAATCATTAAAAAGAAATTCAGCTTCCGTAGTGGGTCAGAGCAAGACTGTGCATGTGTTCTGTGCTCTTGCAGAAGAGCGTTTTGCTGGGGTGTCCTGCGGAGTGGGGGATGCTCTGGTGAGGCACTGGCTGGGAGGAGGGCCCAGGGCCACCAACAGCCACGGAGGATGGTGCCACCCGGGAGAGCCTTGGGCGTCAGGACTACCGTCCTCTCAGAAGCGATCAGAAATGGGGATCTCTGAGGAGGAACCGCCAAGTGCTCTTTTAGAGGGGCTAGGCTTTGAGTTGGAACTGTCTGGCCTGCATTTCGTCCTGTTTACACTGCTGCATGCACGCCCCGAAGTTTTCCTGAATGATGAGACAAAATGTGTTTTCCTTGGCCACCCAGAGCCCCTGTTTTCAGAGCAAACGGTAGAATACAAGAAGATGCTTTCAAGTATAAAAAGTACCTCAAACGATCTGCAAATAATACTGGGGTTACTGGCTCTACCAGCTTTTGAAGTGGCAAATCCGTTACGCCATAGTTAAGGTACAAGCTGAACAATAAAAATAGTGAGATTAATTTTAAAAGTTGTCTTAGAATGATTTCTTTCACACTGAGTCTGGATGCGCACGGGGCAGCCGTGAAGTTCCTGCTTCCAGTTTGTATGATCAGACAAACTTTAAGTGGAATTTAAACTCATGGGAAGTTGGTTGATGTGACAGGAGAGTTTTGAACATGTTTTAACCCGTGCTTGAAAGACATTCAGTATTGGGATACCATTTCAAGGAGAACATTCATAGATCCTATATAAATGTCAGGTTACAACGTAAAGATGTAATAACATTCTTTATGTATCTTCAACGCTCATTCTAAAGGGCTACCGTCCCAGATACTGTCTCCTCAGACTGATCATCGGTGGAAGTGGCCGTTTGTTCATATCAGCCCTTCCCTACCTGCTCTTGGCCCTGCTGCCATTTCTGCATTCTGTAGAATAATTTGGGTCTGCAGCAAAATTTTAATTTCTTTTCTCAAATCCCTTTCTTTCCCCTTGAAATGCAGTTTAAATGGAGGCCCTATGGTGAAAGTTGCAATATTCAATGTCCTTTTAGTATAATCCTTTCTCAAACTAGGAGCCCTGGCAGTGTCGCCTGAAATAGAAATGATCTCGAGACCATCTGCGGTAGCTCCGTTAGGGGGAGACAGACCTTGTACTGCCCCGGTAGAAAGTTTCCAGTTTCCAGGAGCGGAGGTATCTCTTACACTAACATTTTTTCTGAGGTAACCCCTCTGGTGGTTGAGAACTCTGGTAAAGGTCCCTTCAGAGTGTTTTTCAGGAGTCCCAAAGTAAGACAACCAGTTTCGGCGTTACTGGTTGCCTCTCTCCGTTTGTGTGCTAACTTGCTATGCCTTGTGCTATTTTAGTGTTTGGGGAAAACGAAAAATAAAACGTGTTATTTAGCATAATAAACGTCTTCTTTTACATGTGCAGTCTCGGTTCACCTTGTGTTTTATCAGTGCTGTCTTCCTCATATTGAAAAGTCTTCTAGCACTGGTCCAAGTAGGCTGCCGACTTAGAAGACCGGAAGCAGAGCTTGAAAGACAACCCGCGAAGCCAGGTCGGAACTCTCTGCTCTCACTTTCCTCCCAGGACATAGAACGTGTTGTGATCCTCTGGTGATCACCGCCACCGTGAAGGACGCCGTCCTGGTTGGGCAGTAAGAACCCTGTTTGGGGTCACCGAGGGATGGTGAGGTGAGAACACGGAATTGTTTTAAAATGGGAACCATTTTCTTGTCAGGCCCCTCCCCGCCCTTTTTTGTTTTAAACTAAGTCTACTCCTTTGGGATTGAAGTTTCTGTGACCCATCGACTGTTTTATTTCCTTTGTTTTGTAAATTGCAAGAATAGAAATTTTCAACCAGTTGCAAAGAACAAAGATGGAATTCTCTATTGAGTATCCGATGCTAAATAAATTTGGAATGTCTTCATGTGGTTATATTAGAATAAGTTGTGTTTTTTCTGGATGCCACTTTGGGGGAATGTTCACTATAACAACTTCTTTAATTTTTTAATGCATGGGGCGCCTGGGTGGCTCTGTCAGTTAAGCCTCTGCCTTTGCCTCAGGTCATGACCCCAGGGTCCTGGGATCAAGCTCCGGATCGGGCTCCCTGCTCTCCCTCTCCCTGTGCTTGTGCTCTCTCTCTCTCTGTCAAATAAATAAAATAAAATCTTAAAAAAAATAAAAATTTTAAATACACATATATTTGGCTGAAATTTTTCCCTTTGGCGCTGTGTCCAGTTCCTGTTTGAAGACAGGCCTCTCCTGTGGGAAGTTCTAGGGTGGAGAGGTGGTGATAAATGCACTGTATAAAGTTTCATGACTTGACAAAATAAGGCCTTCTATAAACATTTTTCTGAGGCAATTAGTATAGAAATACGATATTCTTTCAGATAAATTGTTTCTATGATTGAGTTATAAAAGGGATAAGTCTTTTAAGTTTTCATTTTAATTCCATTTAACATACAATGTAATGTTAATTTCAGGTGTACAATCTAGTGATTCAGCACTTCCGTAGGTCACCTGGTGCTCCTCACAACAGGTGCAGTCCTTAATCTCCATCACCTATTTAACCCACCCCCTCCTCCCTCACCTCTGGTCACCATCAGTTCTCTGTAATTAAGAACCATTTCTTGGTTTGTCTCCCCCCCCCATGCTTGTTTGTTTTGTTTCTTAAATTTCACATGAGTGAAATCATATGCTGTCTTTCTCTGACTGACTGAAATTTTGCTTAGCATAATACTCTCTAGCTCCATCCAAGTCACTGCAAATGGCAAGATTTCATTCTTTTTTATGACTAATATTCCATTATACACACACACACACCACATCTTTATCCATCCATTAATCGATGGACACTTGGGGTGCTTCCGTATCTTGGCTACTGTAAATAATGCTATAAGCATAGGAGTGCGTGTATCCTAAAAGGAATAAGTCACTTGAAAATTTTTAGGTTGTATCATTTTGGCAATGAAAACTGAGGGAAGTTTGCTTTAGAAGTTAAGTTTTTATGGTTTTGTTTGTTTTTTGCCTTTGTGGATTCTCTTAAGGATTGAACACAATCATTTCAAATTTAGAAGCACTTCCCATAGTACTAAATCTTGGACTTGGTTATTCACATATGGAAATCATAATTTTTAACATTGGAATGAACAGTGAGGTGTTGAGTGATTACGAAGTTGCAAGCCAATAATGAATAAGAAATTAAGAAACTTGCATTTAAATAGATCCTTATTGTAGGACTCCAAATAAGGCATGTTTATTTGGAGCTTGCTGTGAATCACTGTGTATTCAAACAGACTACTGTAATTTTCCATAGAAAAAGAAATATACTATAGAATTCTCCCTATATTCTCCCATAGATAATTTAAAAATTCTTTTTAAACCTTCCAAAGAGAGAATTAAGGGGTCTCCTAAACAATCTAGATGAGCTCAGAGCTAGAAATTGTGCTCTTCAGCCCTGGCTAGTGGTGGAAGCTTTGAAACACACCCCATCCGAGTGATAGATTCAGTGTAGATATTTGAAGTTAGAGAACTAGAATTTAATAGGATGGTTGCTTCTACTTGGCTCCTCTTTGCTTCTAAAATGTTATCTTTTTTCCAATTTTATTTTTATCAAAACTTGATCAATCAGGTCAACAAAAGAGGCATTTGTGCTTCAAACTCTGCAAACTTCTTTGAGCTCTACATCAGATTGACCGAAATTTGCCTAGGAAAGACTGTTTGCAAAGGGGCTTGCCACTTAGGAGAAGCCATCTTCACAGGATACACTTTACCTCTTCTTGGAACAGATGATCTTGCTTTATTGAGGCACAGTTTTAAGGGAAGTGTTTGGGTTGAGTTGGGAGGGTGTGTGGCGGCCCTGCTGCATCCGACCCACACATTGCCGTCTTTATAGCATGCGCCCGTTGGGTCTGAGGAGTCCTTGAGTGCTGTGTTTTCTTCTGCAAACAGCTCCGTTATTTACGGGAGCAAGAGTGGGCTTTGCTGCAGTTTTGCTCTGCTGGTGTCTTGAGTAGCTCTTTACAGTTAATTTTTCAAAGTGTTTAGTTACATAACAATATAAGGAGTTTTTCTAGGGCAGCTGTGCCTCACCACCACGGTATTGACGGGGGAATATAATAATCTCCAGTTAGCCAATTCACACTTTCAGCTTTTTGTTTTTGGTTTGTTGTTGTTGTTGTTGTTGTTGTTTTTAAGGCAGTGGATTTATCCTGTTTTCCGTCTCCTGCCTATTATTTCTGCTCCCAGAAAATGAGTGATTTGTTTGAAGATTGGGGAATAGGCTCTGTTTTCTTTCTTTTTTTTTTTTTTTTAAGATTTATTGATTTATTTTATTTATTTTTTATTTTTTAAAGATTTTATTTATTTGAGAGAGAGAGAGAAGGAGAGATAGAAAGCACAAGAGGGAAGAGGGTCAGAGGGAGAAGCAGACTCCCTGCCGAGCAGGAAGCCCAATGTGGGACTCGATCCCGGGACTCCAGGATCATGACCTGAGCTGAAGGCAGTCGCTTAACCAACTGAGCCACCCAGGCGCCCTGTTGATTTATTTTAGAGAGTCAGGGGGAGGAGCAGAGGGAGAGGGAGAAGCAGACCCCACCCACCCCCCCGCTGAGCACAGAGCCAGATGTGGGGCTCTGATCCAGCACCCTAATAAGATCATGACCTGAGCAGAAATCAAACGATGCTTAACCAACTGTGCCATTCAGGCACCCCTAGGCTCTGTTTTCTTTTTTCTTTCTTTTTCTTTCTTTTTTTCTTTTCTTTTCTTTTTTCTTTCAGATTTTGTCAGAGGGTGAGAGAGAGAGCGAGCAAGCTTGCAAGCAGAGGGAGAAGCAGGCTCCCTGCTGAGCAAGGAGCCTGATGCGGGACTCGATCCCAGGACCCTGGGGTCATGACCTGAGCCGAAGGCAGACATTTAACTGTCTGAGCCACCCAGGCGTCCCCAACCTCCTTTTTAAAAAAAAGAAAAAAATTTTTTTTTAAAGATTTTATTTATTCATCTGACAGAGACGCAGCGAGAGAGGAAACACAAGCTGGGGGAGCGGGAGAGGGAGAAGCAGGCCTCCTGTGGAGCAGGGAGCCCGACGCGGGGCTCGATCCCAGGACCCCGAGACCATGACCCGAGCTGAAGGCAGATGCCCAATGACTGAGCCACCCAGGCGCCCCCCCCCCGCTTTTTTAAAGATTTTATTAGGCTCTGTTTTGTAATTCTGGAAGCTTATCTCCTGTTATACTGAAGTCTGCCAGCACTGTACCACTGCTGATTAGTAAGAAGACTTGGAGGAAGCATGTCTCTGCTCCTTTGACATGAGTTGCTGTATAGAGGAACAACCAATAGGATGTAGAGATACAGATAGACAAGGATAGTCCTTAGAGGAATTGGCTCACGCGATAGTGGAGGCTGAGAAGTCCCACCATCTGCCATCTTCCATCTGCACACTGGAGAACCGGGAAAGCCTGTGGGCAAGGCCTGACAATTACAGAAGCTGATGGTGCTCCTGGTTGAAGTCTAAAAGCCCAAGAACCAGGAGCACAATGTCTGAGGGCAGAAGCTGGAGGTCTCAGCTCAAGTGAAGAGCAAGCAAAATTGCCCCTTAACTGCTTCCTTCCGTTCAGGCCCCATGCTGGTTGGATGATGCCCATCCAGATTTGCAAGGGCGATCCTTACTCTACCAGTTCTCTTCCAGAAATGCTCTTAGAGACACACCCAGAGATAATGCCTTACCAGGCATCCGGGCGTCCCTTAGCCCAGTCAA